AAAGCAAGCCTGTTTGCCATTTCTTCTGATTCCCAGGCATGGCCTTTCTCTGCTGTCCCCCAAAGAGGGGTTTGGGATCTGGAGTATATATCTGAGGTTGCTGTTACAGTACGAAGAATTTCTTAACGGCTTCACACTTGAACACTGTTGTAAAATTAGGATGCTGCTAACACTTCTGTCCATTTTTATTCATTTTCCAGGTATCAGAAGGTCAGGAAATATGTGTGATTGAAGCCATGAAAATGCAGAACAGTATGACAGCTGGGAAAACTGGCAAGGTATGTCCCCAAGTTCCTGCCAGCTCATGTCAGCTCTGTAACAGGAAGCAGAACTTCCACCTTTGAATCTTGGACGATGAGGCCTGAAAGGGACGGACCACAGGCGAGATCCCTTCCCACCATCCCTCCCGCAGATGAGGGGCATTAGATTGGGGCTCTTTCCCCCCTGGACCGGTGTGTCCTTGCCTTGTGGAGAGCAGGCCTTCCAAGAGAGTCTGTACCGTGTTCAGATCGTCAAGGAACAATTGTTCTTCACCTTAATGTCTTTCAAATTAAGGGGTCTTTAATTTTTAATGTTTACATCTGTCTTGGAGGCAGTTAGTTATCTGAGACTTAGGCGACACAGCAGGAAATGGTTATAGAGATTGCAAAAATTAATGTAACTCTTCAAGATAATTTCTCCACAAAGAGAACAATTCAATTTTAGATCAAGAGGAGCTGAAAGCCCCATGTACACATGTGGGAGGTAATGATTTAGGGAGAAAAAGGAGGTGATGTGTTAGTACTGAAATGTATTAAGAGTAAAAACTTCTTACATGAATTTCTCCTTGAGGAAAATAGGAAAGGCCTTTAAAGCACTAACTTCATTATCCTTTCTGTGACTATGAAGACACCATTTTTAGCAGAATGGTCCTTCTGGGAAGGACAACTTGGGTAAAGGTCTGGAGGGAGGTTGGGCGCAGGCGGCCACGTCCTGCACTGTGGCCACACCTGACAGAGGCTGGGCCTGTGGACCACGGTGCCCTGGCAGAGAGGTGCTGTCAGCTCACAGTGAAATCTGCATTAGGGAGACACAGCTTCCATTTGTCACCCAAAGAGAAGTGAACCGATGCTCAGAGGACTCCAGTCCATCCCGGCGGGAGGGCGAGGCCAGGCTAGAGGGGGCTGCACACAGCTGTCCCATCTCCATGGTTTTGGAAGAGGAGAAAGACATGATTTGTACTTTTTTTTTTTTTTTTTTTAAGGAATCGTGCTTTCTAGATGATTACTTTTTAAAAATATATATACTTAATTGATTTTTTACAGAGAGGAAGGGAGAAGAATAAAAACATCGATGAGAGAGACATATCGATCAGCTGCCTCCTGCACACTCCCTACTGGGGATGTGCCCACATCCAATGTACATGCCCTTGACCAAAATCAAACCTGGAACCCTTCGCAGGGTTTATAATCTGAAACCAGTGTTTATATAGGCAGTATTTTTCATTGTCCGCAGGCTGACACTCTGTCCACTGAGCCAAACCAGCTAGGGCTAAATGATTACTTTTTTAATATATATATATATATATATATATATATATATATATATTATTATTATTGATTTCAGAGAGGGAGAAGCGAGAGTTAGAAACATCAATGATGAAAGGGAATCGTTGATTGGCCGCCTCCTGGTGCGTGCCCCCTATTGGGGATCGAGCCCACAACCCAGCATGTACCCTTGACTGGAATCGAACCTGGGACCCTTCAGTCAGAAGACTGATGCTCTATCCACTGATCTAGACCAGCTAGGGCTACTTGATAACTTTTTATAAGGTAAACAAGAAAATATTGGTTTCTGCTCTTGTGAAACTGTTACGTTTGTTCCTGGAGCTTAACACTGACCCTGCATTGGCACCATGAGATTTCCATCTGTGACGAGACCTGCCCTCATTTGGGGGGAAGCAGAATATGTCAGATGCATGTCAAGGGCCTGAATTGATGGACTGAGGTACTAACACAGACATGAACTTGGTCACAGCTCTCTGAAGGAGCAAGGGCTCGTGTCTGTCCGTGTGTTTACGTCCTTGTGGCCTGGGCGTCACCGTGAAGGCTCAGCTGCTCCCTGGTCAGCAGCCCAGAGCTGCTTTCAGGGTGTCACTGGGCTCTGGGCGAATTTGTCTGTGGCCTGACCCCATTAGCTGCATTTCTTCCTGCTCATCCGTCTCCCTCGGCCCCCTAGCAGCACCAGGCCCTGGGGAGCCGAGGGGCTGGTGGTTCCTTCCTGGGGGCCATTTTTCCTCCCAGAGAAAAGGTTCACAAAGAAGCAAGCTCTTCACTTTAGTAATCACAATGAAAAATACTGCCTATATAAACACTGGTTTCAGATTATAAAAGCAGCCACTTCGCCGAAACCTGAAACCGGTTTGGCTCAGTGGATAGAGCTTCAACCTCTGGACTGAAAGGTCCCGGGTTCGATTCCGGTCAAGGGCATGTACCTTGGTTGCAGGCACATCCCCAATAGGAGGTGTGCAAGAGGTGTGCAAGAGGAAGCTGATTGATGATTCTCTCTCATCGATGTTTCTAACTCACTATCCCTCTCCTTTCCTCTCTGTAAAAAATCAATAACATATATTAAAAAAAAATAAAATAAAAGCAGCCACCTCAGTGCAAACAGCCCCTGTTGAACAAGGCCTCGGAAGTAGTCATTGCACAGGTTCAGGTCGGCCTGAAAGGGCCTGGGCTACCGCTCAGGGGAAGAGGGCCCTTCTAGCCCGCTGGCACTGTTCCTGTGTGCCACTCGTTAGTTCCAAGCCTTTGTTCATTTTTTCACCTGAGGAACAAACTCCCAAGAAGTCAAACCACTATTTCTTTCCCAGTTCAACCCGTTGCCCTCTTATTTGAGATCTGAACACAACTTGGGAAAGCAAACCTGATTAACGTCGGGAGAAATGAATAGAATGAAAGAGCACACTAGCAACATCGAGGGCGCTCAGTGCGTGTTCCATATCATACCGCAGAGTACTACTATCCCGGTAGCCCACCGCTTCTGAGCATGTCATTTCCCTTCAGCAGGAAGTTTCTGGTGAGGCTAGGGAGTTTCTCCTGTGAATTAGTACCTGTTTGGCCTTTGGTGTAATTGTATTTTGTTTCGGGCTTGTTGTTGTTGTTATATACCATTAACTCAAAGAGAACATTTCTGCAACCTAAAACAGAAGATTGTGGAGGGCTGGGTGTTGAGAGCTTATCCAGAATCAACCCTAGTGGCTCTTAGGGTGCTGCCTAGACCCGTGAGCACCCAGGGCAAGGGCCGGCCAGCGGAAATTGCCTCCACCAGCGACTTAAGGACAAAGACAGGAGCACCAGGGGAGGGCAAGGTGGTGAGTCAGGGCCCTGCACGGCCGTCCCTCAGCACGAGATCCCCTATGACTGCGATTCTGGAGTTCTACCTGTGCTCCCAGCCCGACCATCTCTCCAATTCCAAAATCGATAACAACATTGCTCTTCCTGGTCCAGTTAATCATTCTTACCCCTCTTTTTTCTTTTTTTAATTTTTATTCAAGGTGAAATCAGTGCATTGTAAAGCTGGGGACACAGTTGGAGAAGGAGATCTGCTCATGGAACTGCAATGAAGTATTTATAGCCTTTCAGCCGTCACCCGGTTTAATTAGCCATTTGTATTATTATTATTCTTTCACTCAATTTATCCAAGCATTTTGCGGGAACACCCCTGCGCAGCAGATTTTACACGGTCATATTTATTCCACATATAGTCAAAACCAACATTCTGCCAAAAAAAATCACCAATGGAAATTTTTACTGTTATAAATACTTGTACATATGATTTGTACTTCTGCTATGAGATTTCCTAGTGTCAAAGTTAAATCAATAAAATTGAGCATTTGTCTAAATATCAATTTGCCCTTTTTTGAATGAAGACAATGTGCGCGTGGACTTTAAACACTAGCATTTCATTGTGATCCTTTAAAATATTTATATAAATCCCAGCTCTTTGTCGTCAGTTTTAGTAGGTTGGCATTTGCCAGCCTGTAACCTGGATGCCTGCTCATCCTGGCTGAGAACTCCTGCTTGTGGTGACTTGTAACCTCCTGTAGCACTGACGGGATCACGGAGATCCCGCTGCACGGCTCTGATGGGTAAGTACTGGATCTGCTGGACCCCTAGACGTCACCTTAAGGAGAGATGAGTCACGGGGCCCCTCTTCCCCCCGGACCCCCCTCGTCCCAACTGCAGTGGGTGGGGGTTGCCACCAGCTCATCAGCCGATACCCATCCTTGCCTTTTTGTGTCTTTGTGAAGCAAGTTTCCAACCAGGAAAAAGGGGCTAAAAATAATGATCGTGTCTTTGTGCCAGATGCAGTTAGTGATCACAGTCTTCCATTAAGTTGAAGAGTGAGCGAGCCCTCCCAGAGGAGACGAGGTTTCTGAGATCAGCAGCTGCATTTTTGTTCGGCTCCGAAGTTCTTGGAATACATTTCACACTTTGCTGGTAAGCGAGCAGAGGCAGTCGCGCACTGATCTGACTCTACGCTGACAGATCACGAGGTGGAGGTGGGTAGTAATTGCTGCTTCGTGCCTCACCAAAATTATTTTAAGTGCTGTTTGTGTTTGGAAGCTAAGCTCTCTGTCAGGCCTGAGGAACAAATTGCTAATGTGCTGGTTCTTCTCCAGAGGCCCACCCCCAAATGCCGCTCCCTCGGAAGCAGGGACGGTGCCTGCCGCTGAGCAGTGGGCTTAGGGGAGCTTCCATCTGAAATCAGGGTGTTCAGCTGTGTCTGCCAGCAAGCGGGTGCTCATTGTTTTTGTTAGATTAGAAGAAAAAGAACCTTCTACCAAATAAGGGCCACGAAAGGGGCCAAAAATGGCACCAGCACTTTTATATTTGACTTTCTAAAACATTTCATTTTAAATGATCATCTTTAATAGTCTCTTTAATAAGCTTGATCTGAAAATGGTGAAGAACAACGTTGTATGTTCTCCAAAACTACTCTAAAATGCAGCATGGTTTTCTTGAGTTTCTTTTATTATTTATTACACCGAGACATCCAAGATCAGCTCAGCATTTTTTTTTTCCCTCAGTGCTATGCAGGTCAGAATCAATAAGAGTGGGGCTGCTAAAATCTAGCTGCAACACAAAGTCTTCACATTCATTTTAAATGTCATCGTCAGATTAAAGCAAAGCAGACAAAGAAGAAAGAAAGGGATGATAACATATGAGTTCCTGAAATGCCAGTTAGGGGAATTAAAAGCCTAAATTTTTCTTACCCAGTACATTCAGACACCTAATGCTCTTGAAGCAGCAAGCCATAAAGCAGTAGTGGATGGACAGATTTCAGGGCGCAATCCTATTACTGGTCTGTCAAAACTATCTAGGAAATTGGCTGGCACTAAAAAAGAGTATGTCTTTCTCCACAGGATTGAGTTTCACAAATATTTGTTGCAAAGGACATCATTAGGCTTTTGCATTGGGTGCGCGCAGACCGAGTGAGGTGATCTCGCCATCCTCGGGGCTCCGTGTGTCTGTGCCCTGGCTGGAGGGCATTCCTCGGGCGGTCATCTGTTTTCCCTTGGGTTGTAGCGGAGCCCGTGCGGCCCCTGCGAGTCGTAATCGTCGAGGTGGGGGAGCTGGGCCCAGTCGGGCGGGAAGGTGGCCGTGCTGTACACGAAGCACTGCCGGCTGCTCCCGGCGGCGGGCGGCTCCCCGGAGGCCTCCCCCTCCAGCAGCGCCACGCGCACCCGCACGCGCTGGTACATGTCGGGGCAGCCCTCGAACTCATCGAGGAAGCGCAGCATCTGCTCGTCCACGGCGTAGATCTCCCCGGCCACGCGGAGGCCTCGCCCCGGCAGGTGCAGCAGCCGCGGGATGTTGTGCTCCCCGGCGATCACCAGCGGGTACGGCTCCTCCGTGCGGCCGCGGCCCCGGAAGGTGGCCCGTCCATTGGCGCCGTCCAGCAGGACCTTGTGGTTGGGCTGGCCCCGCTTCAGGGTCCCGTACACGAACACGTCGGCCGTCGGGCAGAGGCCTGCGGAGGAGAAAGGAAGCGGGCTGTCAGCACACGTGCCAGAGACGGGCCAGGCTTTGGGCTCAGCTGGGGCTGGAAGCTTGCCTGGAAGGGCCAGAGAGTAAATACTTTGGTTCCTGCTGGAGCAGATGTTCCCAACCCCAGCGCAGCCCGGAGCCCACTGCTCTGGACCACCCTGTGGTGGCTTGAGGTTCCAGGAGACACCTCAACCCTTTGTAGTCATTTTCTGGGGAAAGGCACTCTTGGTGGGAACACACTTGCCGGATGGAGCCTGGACTAGGATCGAGCCCTGAGAACTGCAGTTTTCCAGAGCAGTTCATTTTTAATCATTTTATTTATTTAAACATATTTTTATTGATTTTTAGAGAGGAAGGGAGAGAGAGAAACATCAATGATGAGAGAGAATCATTGATCAGCTGCCTCCTGCACGCCCCACACTAGGGATCCAGCCTACAACCTGGGTATGTGCCCTTGACCAGAATCGGACTCAGGACCGTTCAGTCCACAGGCCAACACTATTCACTGAGCCAAACCGACTAGGGCCACTTTTAATCATTTTAAAAGGACTTTAAAAAGCACACGATACATACTACAGAAGAAAATACGAGTGATGAATGAAAGTGTGTGCGTGTGCGTGTGCGTGTGCGTGTGTGTGTGTGTGTGTAAAATAGTCACCTGTGATGCGCTACAAGAGAGAATTCAGGGGGCAGCACTGGCTTTACATCCCAGTCATGACAGCATGACCCAGCAGCCCTGCAACAAGCAGCTTCCTGTTCCTTTTTCAAGGTCCTGGAGGGCAATGACGCTTCCCTGTGACTCACCGTGACTCACGCAGCGGCCTTGGCTCTGGTGTGAAGGTGAGTCCTCACTGCTGCCTGGGCCTGGGCCACAGACTGTTATGTAACCCACCAAAGTAATCTGTGTAAAAATGACTCGGAGAGAAGTGGAAATAAATCAGAGTGGAGCCGGTTGGGCTCTCGTCAAAGCCCGGCATCTCCCTGCCCTGCTTGCCCAGCGCTGTGCAGGCTTCGGACACGAGGCGCCTGTGCAGGAAACAAAGGGGGTGTCCACCTGCCAGCGGCAGCCTACGGCCAGCCAGCAACGCCTGGAGGTGACACCCCTGGACATGCATATCGCCTGGCAAGTGGCCCTTGGAGGAGCCACACTTAGTTCCTAGGTCTTGTGCTTTCTTCTCAGTCAACAGGCCTGGTCCGGGGTCTCCCTGCCTCTTCAGGGAGGAAGGACATTCCCAATGGGACTTTGCCCACCCACTCACCCCCCTCTACTGCCCTGTTCTCAGTCACCGGCCTGTGGAATGTCGGGAGTCCCATGGGGTTCAGGAAATTGTACTTGGGGAGGTGTGGCCATGGGGAAAACACAGGGCTGGCAGGCACATAAAGTCCAGGCATTTGACAACACCGGGACACCTCGAGCAGGACCGGGGCCTGCTGGGAGCTCCGGGCTGGTTACTCTGACGAGGCGGAAGACAGATCAGGCTTGTGGGGCTTGGGGGTGGGGGGGTGGGGGGGTGGGGCCTGCCTCAAGCATGGAAAGTTAAGAAGTGAGTCAAGCAGAGCCTGGAATTGAAGTGCAGAGAGGAGGGAGGCACAGGTGCACAGAAGCGTGGGAGCTGCAGGTGGCAGGACTGCTGCGTGGAGAATGAGGGGAGGACAGGAGACCGGAGAGCAAGCAGACAGGGTGGCAGGGACTGTGTATGGAGAGGTGGCCTGAGGAGTGATCTGGAGAGGAGGGTGGGTGGGATCAGAGCGTGAAGGAGCTATCCCCGACTTCTGTCTCCCACACTTGCATCCCGTCTTGTCGCTCAATCTGTTTACTCCTCCAGGACACACCCATGAGCAGGAGTTCTCACCCCTTCACACTGTCCCCCTGTTCCCTAACGGGCCCGCTTCTCTGTTCCCTCCAGCCTGGACTCATCGCAGTCACGGTCAGTCTCGCTGCAGACTCCATGACCCTGTTGGTGCAGCTGCCTTACTGCCCCTCATCTCCCTCCAGCCACCCTTGGAATGACGCCTGCCCGCCCTGGGCCTTTGCAGTCACTACTTGCCCACTGGGTTCCAGTCCCTTTAGATGCCCTCCTGAACAGCTGACCTGAAGCAGCACCCATCCAACCTTTCAGTCCTATCACATCACCCCCATTGGCTCTCTGTATGGTACGTGTTCTCCAAATCACTGCTCGTCTCGTTCACTGCCAGACTGTGAGGAGCTGGAGGAGAACCTGGAAACCATCCAGTCCTACAGAGCTGAGTCTCAAATTGGTGAAGAGGACTCAGGCTGCATACGGGGCAAACCAGTCAAAACTGGAGACCCACCCTCCCATCACTGGTGCCCTAGCTTCCCCCTTTCGATAAAATTTTATCACTATTATATATTTTTCATCATCACCCGAGGACATGTTTTTGTTTTTTTTAATTTTGGAGAGAGAGGAAGTGAGAGAGGAGAGAGAACTGTCAATGTGAGAGGGAAACACCGATTGCTTGCCTCTTATACACAGCTCAACTGGAATCAAACCCACAACTTGGGTATGTGATGATGGGGAATTGAACCCATGACCTTGCAGTGCATAGGACTTAGCTCCTACCAACTGAGCCACACCAGCCAGGGCTCCTTAAATTCTTAAAAGTACCAGATGGACATAGTGTAAAAGTCAAATAACTTCTCACAAAAAATGAAATTCCCTACCATTTGCTACCTTGAGACAACACGTTTAAGCCTTTTAGCTGCTGCATTTAATATTTATCTCCACACTAGAGGCCCGGTGCACGACATTCGTGCACTGGGTTTGGGGGAGGGGGCAGTCCGGCCTGCACACCCCTTGCAGTGCAACGGAGGTGGGAGAGGCTCCTACCACCACCGCTGTGCTTGCCAGCCGTGAGCCCGGGCTTCTGGCTGAGTGGTGCTCACCCTGTGGAAGCGCACTGACCACCAGGGGGCAGCTCCTGCGTTGAGCGTCTGTCCCCTGGTAGACAGTGTGCATGATAGCAACTGGTTATTCCACTGTTTGGTCAATTTGCATATTAGCCTTTTATAGGATTGATAGTTATACTGTTACTTCTTGATGTTTTAAATAATGTCTTGCCTTTGTACCCCAAAGCAGGTGAGCCATGCATTTTTAAAGTGCAGGCTTTAGAACCAACCTGCCTGGGTTGAAATCCTGGTTCTAGCAGTTTTAAACTATGACTTTAGGCAAACCACTCTCCCTCTCTGAGCCTGGGCTTCCTCGGCTCTAAAAGGAATACTATCTGCCTGCTTCAGAGGAGTGTTGTGGTTCCTGCACATTTGGTAAGCCTGCTTTCCACACCTGCAGGTTATTATTGCTACAGAAGCTCTCTCTACCCACACCCCAAACCTACGTGGTCTCTGCCCCACGTTCCTCCAATAGACTCACATCTCAATTTCGGTCAAATCCATACTCAGCATTAGAACTATGTAAACACTGTTCTCAGATAAGGCACATAGTGTACTGTGATTAATTTCCTTCCTTGGACAACTTTTTGTTTTTCTTGGAAAAATAGCTTTAGCTCTTGTCTCTCCCCGCAACTCACCACCCCCTTCGCTCAAGTTTCTCTGACAGTAATTTGGCCTCACATTGTCTAGAGCCCTGGAAGAATCCTTTCAGCCTTGGCCGCCCATCGTTCACGTGTCCCTGCAGCCGTGGCTCCTGGAAGCTGTGCTGCTCCCGCCTGGGTACTGCTACCATCGGGCATCCCTCATGCGCCCGAGTCCCCCTGGGCCCCAGGACCCCTTCTTGGTTGGCTTTCTCACTTCACTGAGGCTTATTATTTCACATCCTCGATTAACAGTGTGGCTGGGCAGAGAACTCTAGAAATAAGTAACTTCAGAACTGTGAAGGCATTTCCTGTGTCTTCTAGTCGTTCAAGTTCTTGCTGAGAAGTCCCGTGACACTGGGACCCACGGTCCTTCGCACAGGACGTGAGCTTCTCTCTGGAGGTTCTCAGGTCTTCCTCTGTCCCTGGGACTCTGCGATTCTATAAGGATGTGTCTGCATATATTTTGTTTTGTCTTGTTCCATTCATTGTGCCAGGAATTCCCGCCTGAAAACTCATTATCTTGGATCGTGGAGAATTTTCTTCCCTACCCTTCCTTATTCATTTTTGAAAATATACGTTTTTATTGATTTCAGAGAGGAAAGGAGATGAGGGAGAGAAACATTAGTGATGAGAGGGAAACATTGATCAGCTGCCTCCTGCACACAACACACTGGGGATTGAAACTGCAACCTGGGCATGTGCCCTGACAGGGAATCAAACCATGACCTTCTGGTTCATAGGTTGATGCTCAACCACTGAACCTCCTAGTCTTCCTTCTTGCTCTTTTTCTGGATCTCTAGTACTCAGATTTTGCATAACCTGGATTAATCTTTTAACGTGCTCTTTATATTCTACTTTATCTTCTAATTCTCCTCAAATTTTAAGAATTTTTATCCTATTTACTTCTAAAGTCTTTTTCTTGCACTTTGTTAACACCTGTTCATTCACAGCATAATACCATCTCTCATCATCTTTGGGAAGATCTTAGGAGTTTTTGTTTAAGTTTTCATCTTTCCCTCCAATGTCTCGATTCCTCTTAAATTCCTCTTTTCTTTGTTTTGGAATGCTTCTTGAAAAGGTTTTCTTCCCTCTCCTAGCCTTTCACATTGAAAAGCAAGACACCAGTCCCAGCTGGGAGGCTGAGTTGGTTGGAGCATGGCCCGTACAGCAGAAAGGCTGCAGGTCTGATTCCCAGTCAGGCACGTCTGGGAGGCAATTGATCGATGTTTCTTTCTCACATCCATGATTCACTCTCTCTCTGCCCACTCGCCCCCACCTCTCCTTCCTCTCTCTACAAAAATCAATAAACTTGTCCTTGGGTGAAGATTAAAAAACAACTACTACTACAACCACAAAAACGGACTCTATATGGGAAACTGAAGCTCTGTGGGAGGGGAGGGAGCCTGATGGTTGGCAGGCCTTGTGTGAGGA